CTCCTTAGTGATGACCCCTCCTTTCCATTGGGAGTAAGCCTCCTTTTTGGCAAGGAGACATTCCCGGATGTTTTTAGTGAGCCATGGAGGCTTATATGCTCTCCTGCCCCCTTTGACCCTCCTGGGGATTACCTTCCTCTGGGCTTGGAGGATCGTCTCCTTAAGGAGCGACCACTCCCCTTGGACACCCGGCTCCCCTCCCCTCTGAGACTTCAGCGCTTCTCCAACTATCCTCCTTAGCTCGTTGAAGTTCGCCCTCCTAAAATCTAGGGCCACTACCTGACTGCTTGCCTTTGCCACCTTGCGCTGAATGATTTGAGCCTGCATATTCTAGAATCGAGGTAACTGCTCTAAGCACCAGGTTATAGCATTCTTGGGGAATGAAGGAACTGAGAGCCATGCAGACTAGAATAGCCCATGACCCTGTAGCTAGGGTATCTGCTTGGGAGGTGGGAAATGCAAATTTCTCTCAGACAAAGGAAGGAATTGACCTGGGTCTCCAGCATCTGAAAGGGCAATAATAGTGTTTTATGCAGAACCTGATCCTGTGATGTGTGGTCGAGAGCATCTACCTAACAAGGGGAGGTAGGGGAAGGAACCTGTAAATCCAAACACCAAAGCTCTCAGTATTGCCAGGACTTGACAAGACTTTGGTTGACAGGTTATAGATGCCTTGAGGACAGATGGCAGCTGATCTAATTTTTTAACTTAAATTCCTACTATAGCAGTCAAGAGAGACTTAAATCCTCTAAGTTCTTTTGTGGATGTAATCCTGAATCCCTTACACCATGTTCTAGACTGCCCTTTTACACCTCTTACTGTTGAGAGCTTGTAGAATAAACAATTGATGGATTTGTGTCAGAGCCTGGAGAAGTGCTGATAATTTCTGCCTCTCACTCCCTCTACCGAAACTATAAGTTTTATGTCAGCTGTCAGTATGTAGCAACTTGCAAAAACTTAGAGTTTTCAAGGAGATGATCTAGAACCTCTGAGTTTTCTTGCCTTTAACATTTAACTGAGTTTTATTTGTTCTTGGGGTAAAAGCCTAGTCCTATTGAAGTAAAAATTTCAGTGCAGGCAGAATTACAGCTTGAGTTTTCACTCCTCATATCAAGGTTTCCTCAGCAAAGTTACTGAATTTTCTGTGCATAGATATATTTGCATTTGTATTTGTAATCCATACCCTATATCCAAAAAAGTTCTGTCCTCAAATGACATGTTATTTGCCAACTACTTACTAGTAATATTGCTTTAAAATTTAATGGTATAGAACAATGGGGCTACAAGGAAAATATTACGGTCATGAAGTGCTGAACAATTTTATATGCTAAAAAGTAATTGTACCTTCTTACTGGGAGAAATTGTATAATAATTTTTTTTAAAAATCACAAAAATTATAAGCTTTGTCTGGTTTCTGATATCTTATAATGAGTATCATAGGGGAACAATATTTCTTAGAAAAAGAATGTGTCTTAAAGTCTAATCCATCTCTAATTTGTAAGGGAAAAATAAAAATGGTAATAGATTTTAAAGGTTTTTTATAATGATAACAAATGAAAATGTACAATACAGTGAAATTCTCTTAAAAGGAGCCGCATGAAATGGAGGTCTTGAGAACCAAGGGACTTATGTGATTTTAAATTATCTTGGCCTCTTCTGTTCTACACTGAGGGATGAAGATGCTCCCAGAAAAACTGAAATGGCACTATGAATGCTGCCCAGCATCTTTGCTGCACAGATTTTTCATCCTCAGTGCCTCTGCTGCACCAAGGCTTGCAACTAGGTTCTTAGAAATCAATCTTGAAGTTGTCTCTGCAGTGTCCATACCAAAGGATTCCTCTTGAGCCTGCAACCAGACCTTTTAGGGCATGTCTATCCTTTGGCAGTAGGGTGCCCCAGTAGGGCTACTCCTGAAAATGCCTCACCAGCCTGTTCTTACTCATACACTTTCCAGAACTGTGGTGGTGAGGCGGCTTGAGGGGCTGTGCAGGGCCTCACCAGTGTATTTTTAGGTTTGGAGCTGTGGGGGCAGCCTCTGCTCCAGAGGTCACTGTTGTGCCACACTGGGTGCATCTATACGTGCGATTAACATGATGCAATGAATTCTGTTGCTGTTTGAGCCAGAGGACACTGGTCCTAGATGCGGTGTACACATATGCACCTGGGACAGCAGCAGTTTGGGCAGAGCAGCTTTGGACTTGCAGAGGGCATGAAGGAGTCAGCCCCGAGCTCTGGGTGGTGGCTTTGGGCAGTGGATGGGCTGGCTTAGGCATGAGGGTGCTAGAGTGTGGAGCTGAGTGGCTAGGTGGCAGGCAGCCCCTGCACTTTAGCACCCTTATGCTCCACCTAGGTGGAGTTAATTTCCTGCACCCTAATACCGGCACACATGTAGACAGTGATGCTTTATTGCGGAGCTAATTAGATTGCACATGCAGATGCACCCACTGACACAAGGGTATAGCTCTGCCCAGAGCAGGTAACCTATTTAGGCCCTTACAGCTCTTGTAAAGTATCTGGAATGGGTTTGAGGTCCTCACCATAATAGATGTAGTTATAATTCTTAAATGGTCTTTTGAGAATGTCCATTTAAAACTGCATGAGGGAACTCCGCATATGTAGAAACAATGCTGAATATAAAGAGTGCTGAGACAGTAAGTGCAGTAAAGACTGATTTGTGGTCACGTGAAAGAGTGTTTATGTCACTGAGGTACTTGCCTTCAGAAAAGTAAGCGCTGAAACCCCGGTGCTGCCGGCTGCTGTCAGAGCGCAGTCGAACAAACATAATGTTCTGGGTGGCTGTGATGGGAGTAGGATGCTGACTGCCACAGAGGTTTCCAAGAATAGGGGCTTCACTGTTTGGACCATCAAACACCTTTATAAAAGAGAAGCAAGCAAAATGAATCATGAGAACCCCAGATTAGTATGTTTCTGTGTCCGACCCATTGTAATTGCCCTACTCTATTTTGACAGGTATAATTTACCTATATATTATGGTTTTGAGTTGTGTACCCAATTAAAGAAAACTGATCTTAGTTTTAAAATCCTCCATACTGAGTGCATGAAGAGAATCTGCTGGTTAGGAGGGTGTTATCTTTATAGGCTCAATCAGGAAAATCATTACATAGGAGAATTTGCAAGAGCTGAACTAAGTATCGCAGAGCTTCATTTTTCAAGATTTGTTATAAAAACCAAAGGAACTCATCAGTCTCATGGCAAAACTGTTCAAGCCTATTTTCCCAACAGCAAGACTGGGGAGAGGGAGGGAAGAGTGCTATGGGCTCATGACAGCTATGACCTTTGGGGAGTTTGAGAGGAAGATCATAAAATCACAGAGAAGGAAGGCTAGGAGAGACCTCCAAGGGTCATCTACTCCAAACCCCTACCTCAGGCAGGAACATTTGCTCTGGGGTCATGCAGTACAGTCCTGCAGCAGCAACAGCTCTGGGGTTGTGCAATGGTTCTGGGTTCAGGCTGCACAGCCCTGTGGTGGTGGCAACTCTGGCTTCAGGGTCATGCAGAACAGCTCTGTGGTGGCAGTTCTGGGGTCATGAAAAACAGCCACACAGCAGTGGTGGATCTGAGGCCATGCAGCATGTGAGTGGCTAAAGGAGGACTGTGCTACACATGATGCCAGATCTGGAATGCAGTACCAGTCCGTGCAGTCCAATTTGGCCTGCAGATTGCCCCCGGCTGAATTTGGCCATACTGACAAAAAAATACTTATTGCAACATGTTGCCCCTTTCAAATAATGCAGCAGCTCAGACTTAGATTGATAGAGCTTTAGATCACCAGTTAGTGTCAAGCTGCCCATGTTTTACTTTAGACAGTTGTGGAAGCAACTCTTGCTTTAACAGTACAGGCATTCCTTGGGCTGGTGGCCAAAATCATACGCTCCCATGTAATTTGCACTCAATCAAATCATTAATTTGACTCAGTAAAGACCTGTGGATTTGGGGCCAACATGTAATTAACTGCCACTGGCACAAAATAAGTACAAAAGGATAAGAAACTCTGCAGAGACATTGGCCTGCATGTGGGCAGGGTAAGGCACCACATGAGGGATATTTTGCTCTACTGGGCACCTTTAAAAAAAATGGCTTCTTCCCAGTGGCTGCGGGAGCTCAGCTCCACAGGGCCTGCCAGTGCTGAGGCAGTGGCATGCTCTGGGGCTCCAAATATGCCCAGCACTGCTGTCCACATGCGGGTCTGCCCTGCTCGCCCAGGGTGACAGCACAGGACTGTGGGTAGGAGGTTGTGGGCAAGGGAGTGGCACGTGTGGGAATAAGGCGGTCACCACCTTCCTCATCAAGGGCTGGAGCAGGCAGGAGGGGTGTGTGTGTGTGTGGGTGGATGGGTGGGTGGGTGCATGTGCGTGTGTGCACTTGAGAGAGAGAGAAATGCAAAACAAACAAAAAAAGGTTTATTTATGTCAGTAGCTTAAAATCCCTTGCACTATTACTAAATAGCGGTTATTGGTCATATCAGCTGATATGGTTGGTTAATCATTGGCTATCAGTATCCGCCAAGAACATTTTTACTGGTGCACCCCTAGTAGCTAATGTTAAATATCTAACTGCATATTTTCATTATTTTCATCCTTTTATGTAGATTTAGATGTCTAACTTACACACTGAAGTTTGGAAATGTTGTTTAGAGCAGGAAAGATGGAAGAGGCACAGGTAATGTTCAGTACCTTCCAGCCACTCCATGGAAGTTAATAAAGTGCATTTAATAGATACATCAGTGGGCTGCATCACCCAGACAGACTATTTTAAAATACTTTGCAAGGATCTGATTCCATCTTCAGTGCTCAGACAAAAAGCATGCATTCATACATTGGCAGACATCAATATAAAGAAAGGAAGCAAGCAAAAAGGCAGCTGGTTTTGCAAAACATCACTTTAATTTTATCATAAACAATTTTCTTTTTTTCTGCAAGTTCAAAAACTTTTTTTTCCTTTCTGTTATCTGACAAATCAGGAGGAGAAAGACAACAAGGGCTGACTTCAATTTTAGTTGAGATTGAACCCAAATGAAAAAAAAGAGAAATCATAAAGGAAATAAATGGCTACAGTCAGTATGCCCTACTGTAATAGGGGGCCTTCCTGGAGCCAGTCCGCCATTGGCCCACCCACCTGTTTCTGGGCCAACCTCACTCACCTGCCACACCTTGTTGTTTCTTAATTGGTTCTAATTAGGCGGGAGGCTACCCATTCTTGCCCTGATGCCAGGGGGTGCTACCTGTGGCTCCGTTCCTCCCCTACACAGCAGCCCAAGCCTTGCAGATGGCATCCAGCTGACACAATGATCTCGGCCTACAGTCAGTCCAAGGTTAGCTCTTGTTGTCGGGCCTCAGACACGCAAGCATTCATACCGCCCTCCTCTGGCTAGGCCTCTCACACTCCACCCCCTCTCACAGGGACTCTTTCGCACATTGACAACTTATACTGCCTTGCTCCCTCTCAGAGTGGGCCCTTTCGGCCATAGGCTTTATCTAGCGCACACCTTGGGTGGCAGACGTACCATTGTTTGAGCCTCTCCTGCAACCCTCACTGGAGTAGTGGCCAGCCAATTACCTGACTGGGACCAAGCTTGCCCTGGCCCCTTCTGGGGCAACTCTATGCAAACTCACACATGCACCGGACTCCCAGCCCTCTGGTTTCCCCCTCACTGGGCCTCCACATCCGCCCCCTTACTGGGGCTACAGGGCTTCCCTCCCCAGTGGGGGCTCAGGTGTCATAACCATGCCTGGCCCCAACTGTTACCCACAGTGATGTGGGGGCTAGGGGTTATTGAGGTGCCCCAACCTGCCTTCCACCAGGGTGGTAACTGGTCTTGTATTTTCCTTGAGGCTCCTGTGCCACTGGGAGCCCCACCAGGCGCCCCACTCCCGGTGGGGTGCAGTTTTAGATCATGCCCAGGCCCTGAGAAAGTGACTCTACTCTCTGCTGCTCTCAGCACAGCAGCCTTCCTTCTGTCCCTCTAGAGCGAGTTCCCTGTTGTGGTGCTGCTGCTTCCAACCTCACATCCCCAGGGTCTCTTCCCAGACTAGAGGAAGGCAACTGTTTTGGCTGGACAGCTGGTTAAGTTTTGGTGAGCTGTCGAGGACTGCATGGGTGGCTCCGCTCACTGACAGGTGCCCCGCCCCTAGTTATCATCTTGCAACTGGGAGTCCTGCACCTAACCCCTGACCTTTGCCACCAGAAGTCCCTCCCACTGCCCACGGAAGTACTCCTTTTGCCTAGGGGATTTGTCATCTTGGAACTGGAAACAAAACAAATTATAGTCTAAAAATCAAACAACATATATTAATTTGATTGGCTCAGCCCAGCCCCTGCAATTTCTAGCTGGCTCCTGCTGCACCGTATAGTGCCTGGCTCCTAGCTGGCTCCTGCTGTGCCTGGCCAGCAGCACGTGGTTCCTTGTTGTGTGGCCAGGATTGTATGGTGCAGCAGGAGCCAGCCAGAAACCATGGGAGCAAGGCCAGGCTGGTTCCTGCTGCATCCTGCACTCCCAGCCATGAAGCTGGGAACTGTGTGGTGCCACACCAGTCGGGCTGGCTCCTGTTATGCCGGCAATCCTCCCCACCCATTCTTATCTGAGTTTCCCTCTTGGATGAAGGGAGGGCAGGGGAACAGCCACAGGGTCCCAGGCCAGAAGCTTCTGCTAGGCAGAAGCTTCTGGTTGGAGACTGGGG